CAATACTGTGAATATCACAAAGATCACAGCCACGACAGGGAGGATTGTCGAGAGCTCAAGCGTGAAATTGAGAACGGGATCAAGTTTGGGAAGTTTCAGCAATATGTGCAAGGAACAGCCTCCCGACAAAAGAACAACAGACCCCAGTCAAGAGATCACCCTAAAAGAAACTTCAAAGGCCCACCACGGCGGGATGGACGAGGAAATAATTGGCAACCAAGAGCCAATGCGCAACAACAGCACTATCCCATCACCGAAGCAACACCACAGCCATTGCAACAACTCCCCCCGGCGGATCCAACAAAGCTAATCACTCACCAGGTGGGAGCTATTTATGGAGCTCCCTTCAAAGTCTTATCCACGACAGCCATGAAGAACTCATTGCGAACTGTCACCAAAACCCCTCGACAAGAGCCTAGCCACAAGAGGTTCAAAGGAACAAAGGCCATTGTATTCACAGATAGCGATGTGGTCCCAGACATTTGTCCCCACAGTAACGCTATGGTCATAGAAGCAATAATCGCAAAAAGTGAAAGTCGGGAGGGTTTACGCGGACAACGGCAGCAAAATTGATATCATATATAGTGATTGCTTCAAGAAAATGAATATAAAAAACCCTTGCATCCGCCCAGCTACAATGTCACTGATGGGATTCTCAGGACACACCATTATCCCCACAGGAATAATTAGCCTACCCATCTCGGTAGGGTCGCATCCTAGGACAGTCACTTTAACCATGGATTTTGCCCTAATAGATGCACCCTCGCCATTCAATGTGATTCTAGGGCGACCTTGGATGTGCCAGGCACGCGCGATATGCTCTCCCTATCACTTGGTAATGAAGTTCCCAACGGAATATGGAGTAGGAGTAGTGAAAGGATGCCAGCAGAGTTCTCGAGAGTGCTTGCTCACTGCAGTTAGAATCGGAAAGAAGACCGCACACCTTAACCTAGGGTCCGCCATGTCAGAATGCTACTCGATTCAACAAACGATCAACTCACCAGAGGTGGAAAACCCCGAGACATCCGGCCTTTCCTCGTTCAGCAGCAAGACGCGAGAATTAATCCTGAGTGAGAATTAATCCGCCAAGACCGTCGAAATTGGGGTTTCTCTCCAAGACCCTTGCAAGCTGAGATCAGCGCCTTGCTACGAGAGTTCCAGGACATATTTGCCTGGTCCCCAGTAGACATGACAGGAGTCCCTTGAGAAGTCATGGAACATAGGTTAAATGTTGATCCAAATGTCAAACCAGTACAACAGAAGAAAAGAGTATTTGCTCGAGAACGTAACGATGTCATCAACGAGGAAATGATGAAGCTAGTCCGTGCCAACATACTCCGGGAAGTTTTATGGCCTGCTTGGTTAGCCAATCTGGTCTTAGTACGAAAACCCGACAACTCCTGGGGTATGTGCCAAGACTACACAGACCTCAACAAACATTGCCCCAAGGACTGCTACAATCTACCAGTCATAGATCAAATGGTGGAGGGTATTGTCGGGTACAGAATCCTCAGCTTCCTTGACGCCTACAAGGGATATCATCAAATCCTCATGGCACAAGAAGATGTAGAAAAGACAACCTACATCACCGAGATGGGGGTATATTGCTACGACAAGATGCCCTTTGGACTGAAAAATGCTGGAGCCACATACCAGTGTCTCGTGAACACAACCTTTCATGACCAGATCGGTCGGAACATCGAGATTTACGTAGACGACATGGTGATAAAACCCAATAAGGATAAGCATGTGGTCGCAGACATGCGGGAGATTTTCACAATATTACGCAAGATTAACATGAAGCTGAACCCTAAAAAATGCACCTTCTGTGTAGGGTCAGGGAAATTCCTAGGGTACCAAGTCTCCAAGGATGGAATAAGTGTTGATCCAGCTAAAATCAAGGCTATCTTAGCCATGGAAGCTCCAAAAACTGTCAAGGAAGTTCAAAAACTCACAGGCTCCTTGGCGACCCTAAACAGGTTTCTGTCTCGAGCCGCAGAAAGAAGCCTTCGATTTTTCCATACCCTTCGCAAAGGCAGAAAATTCGAGTGGAATGAAGAATGCCAGAAAGCCTTCCAAGACCTAAAAGAGCACCTCAAGCAGTTGCCCACACTAGCCAAGCCTGAGCCAAGAGAAACGTTATACATTTACCTGGCAGCTCGAGAGAAGGCTGTCTCGGCTGTTCTTGTGCAGTGCAAAGACGGTAGAGAAGTCCCCGTCTATTTTGTTAGCAAAGTCTTGCAAGGGGCAGAAACCCGTTACACACCCATTGAAAGGCTCATCCTCAGCCTAGTCTTAGCCGCACGACGTCTGCGCCCATACTTCCAAGCACACCCCATCATGGTTTTAAGGGAACAACCAATTCAGCAAGTCCTGCTAAAGCCAGAAGCGTCCGGTAGGATGATGAAATGGGCAGTCGAATTAGGCGAGCACCATATTGAATACAAGCCTCGGTCAGCCATCAAAGGGCAAGCCTTTGCAGATTTCTTAGTAGAAACGCCTCGAGCTATCGAAGCCAAAGAAACGGCGGAGCCTAAAGACGATCCCACTACTCGCGCCCACATCAACCCTCGAGCCTGGTCACTATACGTCGACGGATCTCGTTGCGATGATGGGGGAGGAGCCAGCATCATATTATCAAAACCTTCGACTGATCCCGACATCGAGAACATGAAAGAATACAACGCAGAATATACATACGCGCTGAGGCTCGGTTTCTTGGTCACCAACAATGTAGCAGAATACGAGGCACTAATAGTAGGGCTGAACTTGGCACTAAAACTTGGGGTCTGCAAAATCCAAGTTTTCAGTGATTCTCAAGTAGTGATGAAACAAATATTGGGGGAATACACGGCAAACGACGAGCAACTCGAGCTACCTTGAGAAGGTCCTCGACATCAAGGATAAATTCGAGGAATGCACCATGTGCCATATAGTCCGCTCAAAAAACAAAAGAGCCGATGCCCTCAGCAAGCTAGCCTCCTCGAACTTTGCACACCTTAGCCACAAGGTATGGGTCAAAATTCTCCCCAATCCTAGCATCCAAGACGTCCCCGTAGTGGCCATCATCGAGGACGGCGCCACTTGGATGACCCCTTTTATCCAATACCTTACAGATGGGACGTTGCCGAGTGGAAAAGCAGAAGTCAGAACCCTCCGGTTAAAGGCGATCAAATACACATTGCAAGACGGCATCCTATATAAGCATGGATACCTACTACCCATGCTAAGGTGTATTGGCCCAAAGCAAGCAGCTTACGTACTCGAAATACACGAAGGATCATGCGGAGCTCATATGGGAGCAAGAGCACTCGCCAAGAAGGTCTTGCGAGCATGATATTTCTCGCCGACAATTTTCAAAGACGCCTACCAATGGGTACAAAAATGTGAGAAGTGTCAGCGCTTCTCTCCCATCACCCGACAGCCGCAACACGAGAGGGTCACCATCCAAAGCCCTTGGCCATTCTACCAATGGGGCACTGACATCATCAGCCCCTTTCATCCGAAAGGAGTAGGAGGAGTAAGATGGGTCATTGTAGCAGTAGACTACTTCACTAAATGGGTAGAAGCCAAACTCTTGGCCTTGATCACAGGGAGGAAAGTCTTGGATTTTTTCTGGCGGAACATAGTATGCCGTTTTGGGATCCCGAAGGTTATCGTCTCCGACAATGGGACCCAGTTCGAGAGCAATACTTTCAAGTCATGGTGCGATGAAATGCAAATCGAGCGCCGCTTTTCGAGTGTAGCTCATCCCCGAGCCAATGGGCAGGCTAAATCCATCAATAGAACAATAGTGCATGGAATCAAGACCAGGTTGTATAACGCCAAGGGGGCATGGGCCGACGAACTTTCTCACGTCCTGTGGTCATACCGAACAACTGCCCCCTCCTCGACCGACGAGACACCGTACAGCTTAGTCTATGGTATGGACACCGTCCTTCCTGTAGAGATCGGCCTATCGAGTCCTCGAACCACAAACTTCATCGAGAGTACCAATGATGATGACATCAGGCTAAACCTTGACCTGCTCGAGGAACGTCGAGACGCTGTCAGAATCCGAAAGGCCAAATATAAAGAGGTTCTTCGCAGATACTACAACAAGAAGGTGAAAGCCACGAATCTCGCTATGGGTGATCTCGTACTAAGGAAAAACGAGGCCAGTCGAGCAGAAACCCCTGGAAAACTTATTGCAAATTGGAAAGGGCCTTACAAGGTTATCCAGACTTCCCCAGCAGGCTGCTAGCGCCTACAGGCCATGGATGATAGCGGAACCATTCTCCCTCGATGGTGGAACATTCAGAATCTTCACAGGTTTTATGTTTAAGTCTTTGACCGCTATTTGCCCATTGTGTGTTTTATTTGCTTTATTTACCCAGTCAGTTTTATACTCTCATATGTAATGCTAACCCGGGTCCTCGGGAAATTATTCAATAAAAGAAATTACATATTCTTTTCATTAATAGCAATGCATGCATGACTAGTCATCGAGGGACTCCCTCTTTAGGGCCATCCTCGTTCAAGAGCCGTGTACTCAACATCCGGACACAAACTAGAGAAACTTTCCTCACGCACATTGCGAAACGCAGTGTCAAGTCAAGGAATTCGTACCCAATTCCTGTGATAGAGCCGTGTACTCTACATTCGGCCTAAAAAGCGCTTTAAAAATCAATACTCGAGTAAAATAAACATTCGTTTCACACTACTGTGCGAACTCACAGGAAAGTACATACATTCTACAGTATTACAAGCACCTCCCTGACAGGATTGTCGGGAGAGGGATGAATAATCCCCTTATACCCATGCAGGCTAAGGAGATTCACACACTGATTCAATTTGTCCTTAAGGTCCATGATCTCTGTGTCCTGAGCGTGCACCCTCATCAACAGTTCCTCTCGAGAACTCCGAGTTCGAGGATCCACTATCGATATTGTTATCCAGCAGAAGATTTTGCAGTTGGGAAATATAATCTGTAAGAAGCTCGATCTCACGAGACCTCTCTTTCAATATATCCATGGCTCGATAAATCGATGAGTCCTGACCATAATTATGTGCTGGACTCGGGCTAACACCTGGTGCTTCTCGAGAAACCAGGGAGACACAGTAATCTGCTGTCTTGCCCTGACCCGAGCATTTTCCTTCTCCATGGTCACCAGCTCGTCATGGATCTCGGCTTCGAAAGTCACAGAATCACTGTGGTCTTTCAGGCTTTGAACCTCTCGACGCTGCATCTCCTCGCGAAGTCCCTTAATCTCATTTATCAGATGCTGGTTAACCTTCACATTGTGCGTCCTCATGGCATCGAGTAGGTCATTCTCCAAATGCGCCACCGTCTTGAGGCTGTGCACATCTGCACGACTTCTCAAAATCCCGCTAATCATGGAATATAATGGGAACTCCCTCGATTGCTCCTCTGACAACACCATGTGGTGAACGCGGTGAACGGTCCAACTTTCCTGCTTCACCAGAGGAGTATAAGGCACTCACATCAAACCAAACAGAAAGAACACAGAGGAAAAAGAAATGAAAGGGAAGGAGAGGTTTGCATAAATCTGTGGAAAAGAAAATTAGTTCATTACAACAAAAAGAAATGGTTTGAATGGCCTAACAACTATTACAGAGGGCAGGATTCATACAACATCATTGCCTTGGAGGGGGTCATTGGAAGGGTCTTTGGAAGGGGCCTGGGAGGCATCCTCGGCGGTTCTCTGAACTCCGGAGTGGCCGGTATCAGCAACGTCTTCCTCGGTTTCCTCATCAGCGTCCTCGAGCTCGATACCCATATACTCGTCAGGTACCTCGGTTATAGGGTCCTCCTCGTTTGGACCCTTGGCCAGGACAGCAGGAGTGTCGCCTGAAACGAGGCAATCTCCGCAGGGGAACTCATTTTGGACATGGCGCCGATCAAAGCTCCCCACAGAGGAAGCTGCTCGAGGCTCAACCTTGTCAAGACCTTCACCATGGCTTGGTGCATGGTTTTCTTTGGGTCCTTCATCAGGAGCTGCTTGAACCATTTAGCCTTAATTGGCCTATCCTGGTCGAGCCTCTTCAACCCTGCCACGCCTACTCGGTGCGCACCACACTTGGTAGCAACCAAATTCACCTCCTCGAGGGCTGCAGCCATCCCCCCTGTGGACATCATTCTATACATGAAAGCGGTGCACCAATGGTGAAGTTCTTCCTTGGAAATATGCAGGCTGGCAAACGACTTCATTTTCTCGTTGAGCTCATCATATTTGGCCTGCACCTCGAAAACTTCAGCCTCCTTGGCCTGAACTTGGCGAGCCTTCTCCTCGAGGCTAACCACCTCGAATAACGCCTCGTCCCTTTCTGCCCGAGCGGTAGCCAAGTTTTCTCGAAGTTTCCTCAGCTGCACTAAGTAGGCCATCGAGGCCGCACTTATCTGAACCAACATAACATGTCAGGGACACATTGACATCAGCAGCACATTTACAACCTAATCTGAATAACTACTTACCAGTCTCAAGCTGTCAGCTTCATTCAGCTGGGCAGTGAATTCCTCGAGAATAGGACACTCGATTGACGGCGGGTTGCTGAAGGTGTGAACTGCTACAGACGAGCCTCCCTCGAACAGTTGAGGAGGCAGGACTATGGCCTCCCCCTCGAGAGGGCCCTTCCCCTTCTCTACCACCGGAGGAACTATGCTTGGCCCTGCTTTCGGCATAGTTTTCTGAACAGACTCGGTGACAAGGGGCACCGTCTCGACGCTCGGCTGTGCGGTTTCCTTCAAGGTCACATCCGTCTTGGCCTTCTTGGACTTTGCCCTATCGCCCACCTTCACGATCTTTTTCTTCTTTTTCTTCTGAGGGGCGGCAGTAACAGTAACATCCTCATCTGAATTCACAATGATAAAAGGATCTTCGTCACCAAATAATCGAGACCCAGCATTGCTTGACGACATGACCTAACAACAAATAAAAAAAAGACGAAAACGATTAGTACCTTGATCTTCTTCAACAAAGATTTTGAGGGGAATTCTGGTTGCTCCCTCGATGATGACTGTATCACCTTCCTTCGCGTATGCAGGGGGCACATAGTATTGAACGTCGTTCCACTTAACAATCTTCGAGTATTTTAGAATTTTCTCCACATCTGCCTGGAACTCCTCGACACACTCTTCATCCTCTTGGGTCCATTCATATTTTATGGCCCCGAGACCCTTTGTCTCACGGAGATTCCATGGCAGACAATAACTGGCAGGCGCTTTTACAAACACAAAGTCCGGTTTCCATTCCGGAAAACTGCCATATGCCTTGACCATCTTCTTCACGCCAGCTCTAAGGCGTCTTTTTACTATATACCAATCCTAGAAAGAAGTCGAGGTCACAACTACTTGGAAAAAGTACCTCCACAGTATCAATCGGGGTATTACTTTTACATATTGGCACACTCTCGCAAACCCCAATACAAATGTAATTAAATTTGGGGTAAAACGAGCGAGAGGAGTCCTATAATGTTGAACAATCTCCTCAAACAGGGGGTAGATGGGAAATCTAAGCCCTAGATGCATAAATCGATCATACACGGTGATTCTTCCCCTTGGATCTCGTTCCCTAATGGAGCCCTCGCCTCTAAGGCTGAGGGGAAGTCATACTTGGATCTAAGGTTCTCTACCTTATCCACCGAATCTATGGTGGAAACAAAGTCCAAAATGGTTTTTCCTTCGGAATCCCTAACCATAATTCCGTCAAGGATCTATTCTGGCTACAACAGAAAAAGAAACGGAGCAAATCAGAGATTCAGATCTAGAAACTTACTATGTAAGGGGGACGTGACCACTCTCCTTTCGAATTATAACTTCCCAGTGTTGTTCAAAGGCTTCAATTTGCAGCTCCCCCGGAAAAGGCGTCGCCGGGGCAGTATATCGGATAAAATCTTGAAGGTTCTGGCTGGGAAAAGAGATAAGATGCTCTGGTAAAAAAGAACAAAATGGAGGCTGGGATACTTTTGCGAAGGAGAGGATTTTATGTTTTTGAAAATAAGGAAAAGGATTAAGTGTTGAGGGGACGGAAGAGTTTTTTCCTTAAAAACAAAATTGACTCCCCCACATTCCTCTAATTATGGACCACAACATGACAGCTATTGCGGGTTTCAAGGGAGTAATGATGTTGAGGCCACCATTTGGGGAACATGCCCGCTAATAACGAGTAATTGAAAATTTGGGCAGGATTGGGAAGCGGGTCGCCTTCCCGGGCCGAGACCTGACCCGCCAGTCCCTCTCGATCCTCCGAGATCGAGGGTTGTGCGTTTGCGTCGAGGATGTGTGGCATGTGGCTTGATGATTAGCCGAACGAGGGTAGTCATCCACTCTCGGGTGTGTCTCAGGTAATGCTTATTTTGTACCAAGTGTTATTTGTGTTTACGTCACTAACACTTAGCAGGGGCACTTGACGAGTCCATATCCATCACCGAGACTGGACCGGCCCGCCAAGGGTAGAAAAGGTCCAACCGGGACTCTTAGGTCTGTGTGAAATCCTGAAACCTAGTTGGATTCGAAAACATTCCAGGTAATCTCATACCTATAAATAGGGTAGCTCATACCACAATAAAGGTACGCAATCTTTAGCCGAAAGAATTACCTTCCTGAACTTTCTAGCAATCCCTTTTACTAACTTAAGCATCGGAGTAACTACCATCGGGAGACCCCGAGGCTCTATTTTGTAGGAAAAACCCTAACCGGAGTTCCACCGTTAAACCAACGGCGCATATCCAAGCATCATCAGTGAACATCCATGGTAATCAAGTCCAAGATGATCAAGGTGTTCGGGTTCCAAGTACTGTTCAAGCTCAAGGAGTGGCTCAAGATCCATTATCCAACATTGGAAGGCCAATGACTCAAGCTAGAAGTAAAAGGATGAAGAGTACACTTAATAATCTTATATCAAATGGTTTAGCCTAAGAGAATGTCAAGTCTGGAAGTTACAAGCCCAAGATTATTAATGTGTTACAAGGCCCATTTGAGGAAGGAAATTTCGGCCCACAAACCAAGCAAGGGAGGCCGGCCCTATCTCCTAATTTTTAGGAGTTGGAATCTCTATCTTTTAGGTATAAAATCATTTAAATCTTATCATACTTGTGGAAGGATAAGATTTGGAAGATTCCCTATCTTTTAGAGATAAGATCATTTAAATCTTATCACATGGAAGGAAAAGATTTGATATGATTCTCTTTTATCTAATTTAGAGTTTATTCAAAATAAGAAGTCTATTCATTGGTGTCTACTCTCTACCGTTGGATGAAGATTAGATTAAAATTGGATTGCTATGATTACTCGACAAAGAAGATATTGATAGAGTTGACAACTCAGGAAGATTCTTTTCCTTTGTATTTGGAGTTTTATTTTCATTAGACTAGTGTTTCTTAAGTCTATAAAGGTGTCTAGATACATTGCCTTCTAAGACAAGACACAAGTTGTCAATTAGAGGTTAAGTTGATTTTTAGTTCTTTAAAGTAGGAATAGAGTTAGAGATCAAACTCTTCTCCTAATTGTTAGGAGAATTTTGGGCCCCCTCTACTATAAATAGGGGTGCTTGGCCAGCATTTTAAGGATACCTTTGATGAATTTGATATTTCAATATGAGATGAGAGGACACTCTTTATTCTTTTTCTATTCGTTTTGAAGATTAGTGCATTGCACACAAGCTTGTACTTTTTTGATGCATGCAAGTAGAATAGGTGTTTTTCTACTGGTGGAACTTTGTTAGTTGTTCATTAGAGCCTTTTCGCTAGCAATTCCATAAATTGAAGGGATAGGATTGTTAGAAAGGTGACCGATTGGGTTGCTAGCCTTAAACACTTTCTACATCCTCTAAACCTTTCCTTCCCATTTTGGTGCAAATTTTTGTGGTTTGCATCTCTTCTTTCCTTTTATTTTTCGTGAGTTTAGAGTCCAAAACATTGGGTTTGCAAGTTTTCAAGTCTTGGGAAATTCATAGTTTCTGCGTTGAGGTAAATCTGCCACCTTTGCCTTATGATTCGTATCACACTCTTTCAATATGAATTTAAAACGTTTCAACTTCAAGGAAAAACCTAGCATTTCATAAACCTCCATTGGCTGATCCCTATTTTCCTTGAAAACAGTTTTAAATTCAGCTCGTCACAACCACATCTTCTGGAAACAAAAAACTTTCAGCTTACTAACCATTTGAATATTAAACATATGGAGCAAGGGACAGTGATTTGAAGATGATGAGAATCATGTAGCCTTCCATGGAGGTTCACCTAGTGAGGGGAATGAGCTAGTCCTTCATCCTAGTTTTGGAATGTCAAGTTTACTTTGCAGGCCAATCAAGGAAGAAAGGATGGATCTTGACTACCTATGTGATAGGGAGTTGGTTCAAAAGAGCTATGATCAAGGTGATGAGAATGTCATTAACTTTGGGGTTCAAACCAAAGGAGATGAAGACCTCATGGAAATAAGTGCTGAAGAGTATCAAGAGAGTTTGACTCTATGTGCTCCATGAAGATCATTGATCAAGCTAGTGAGTAGAGTCATTTAGGTTCTTGAGTGGACGGCCTATTTGATCAAAGTGTTCAAGATTGAGTCCATTGCTACACAATTGGATAGGTTGCAAACTATCTTAATTGTTTCAAGTGTTTTTCCAATCTTTTGGAGTCAATAAAGAGAATTCTACAAGTTTTGGAGTAAATTGAAATTTTCTACAACTTAAGGGGCGCAAGACCAATATTTCACTTTTGGAAGGGTGTTCAAGACATTTTACTTCAACAATTTGGAGCTGAATTTCGAGATTAGAGTTAGTCTAAGTCTAGGAGTCAATTTTTGAATTTTTATCTAGTTAAATAAGTCATGTGGACTGAATTAAACTAGAGTGTTTTGATTAGGAGTCTTAAATTCCTTCTAGATATTATCCTACTTGAGATAAGTCATTTAGATAAGGTTTCCTAGATTTTAGATAGAGTCAAAGAGATCAAGTACTCTTCTACTTAGATAAACGATCGTCTTACTGTGAATTTTCCGCACTCTTTTGAGTTTCACGGGATAGACAAAATTATCTTTGTACTTTCTTGTTGATGGTTGCATTAACAAAATTTGCTTCGTCTACGAGATTGCTATCAGTTTCCTGGTATCAGAGCTTGGATTATCTTAGTGATGGTATTAATTGATATTATCATATCAATTCCTATTATGAGTTTGATTTTCGAGAGATTTCTTCTTAGTTGAGGAGTTCATAGTTCTTGGTTTTGAGAATATCTTGAATTACCACGGAATCCGTTACTTGGTGTGGTGATCGAGCTTTGTGCTACTTAACGAGTAGTACTATCTTTATTTGTTTCAAGGTTCCTTCTTGTTTTGGAATGGGGTGTTGAAAAAATAAATCAAATTCTTGTGAAAAATACGTTTTCAAAATTGATCTTGTCTTTTGTGTGGTTGTGCGAGACTTCTTACGCATTTGTTTGATCTTGTGGTGTTATTTTGAGGTCTATGCGAGAGCTTGATGATGGTACGTTGGTATCTAATCAAAGTGGGCGCTACATCTTGAAATTTATCCTTGATTTGCAAGTAAATGAAAAAGCCTTCCTTCTTGTTGGTTTCATTTGAATCTAATGAGTAAAATGGAATTTATGGATTTTCAATTCATGAAAATTTCATAGAGACCGAATTTTGTTGTTTAATCTTAGTGTCAAAAGATTTTTCAAAAGTAACAAATGTTGGTTTTCTTGTTTTCTCGAGTTTTACACTTTGAGTCAAAACCTTCCTCGTCATGTGATGCGGAATGAATTTTTAGTGATATCAGTTTTTGGTATCAAAGTGTTTTAAGGTCTTTGAAGTTGAATTGTGCCAACTTTAAGGATTGAAGTCTTTGACTTGTGTTTTAAAACCTTGATTTTCGAGAGTATGATCGAAAATTGGGTGAAATTTTACTAAAAAGATTTTCTTAA